GTTTAAGTTTCAAGCGTATTTGACTTTTGGAGTAAATTGAGTTTTGAAGATGTTTAAATTTGAGAAAGGTGGCAAAATAATTTTATAAATTTTTCGGTTAAAATAAGGTTTCTATTGAATCCGTAAGATCAAAAAACATTAGAAGATGTTATATGAGTTGTATTAGAAGTTTAGAAATATTCTAGAGTTAAAACCTATTTTGAAGAGGATTTGAGTAGAAAGGAATTTGACATAACCTTAGTATTTTGACTATAAATTTTTATCTGGATATTCGATTGATATGCAATTTTTACCATAGAAAATAGATTTCAAGGGCTACAAAATTATATTTCACAAATATTTCATGAATCGGCATGTAACTAGGTCAAAACCGAGCTGGAGGTCAGGGACAGACTTCTACCCGCGCCCACACGGGAAATTCGCTATTTTTTAGCCTATAAATACTCTAAGGTCTTGATCTAAAGAGTCTTTTACCTATTTTTCTACCCCAAGAAGCCTAGAAAAGTTTGAGGAGAATAAAAGAAAGAAAAACGGAATAAATCTTGAAGAATTAACAGGGGATAATCACAACGAAACACATGAAGATCAAGATTCAAGAATTAAGGTAGAGGTTTCTTCCTAAACTTGTTCTTAGGGTTTATATATATGTATGTTTTGATTCTAAATCATATATATATATTATAAAACCATTGTTTCTTGATTTTCTTGCAAATCATATCATGTCTTGAATAAAGTTATCGTTTGATAGCCACAAAGATTCTCGTTCTTGTTATCAAAACCTTAGTTTTCGAGAAATATTAGTTTTACCCTTGAGATTCTATTGTTCTTGATTTAAAGACTCTAGTGTTTTGTTGGAACAATAAAATTATATTTCTTGATGATCTCTTGAATATTTTCTTGAGGTGTTATGTTGGAAAAATACTTGTGGAATTATAGTTCTTGGTTTACCTATGATTTGGTGAACTAGTTTGGTATTGTATCTCTTGTGTAGATGTTTTGATGAACATGGATAACCGTTGACTGAAATATCGTAGAGTGGGTAGATGCATTTCTTATCCCGAGTGAATTTGAAGGTTCCCTACCACTCGTAGTGGGGTTGATGCCTTACGCGGATCAAACCACTATTCACTCACGGGTGTCGAGGCTGAGGGCTAGTATACTATTCTTATGTTGGATTTGTCATTGTTGATGCATCGATATAAGCCCTTCCTAAAGTTGTGTATCCTTGCGAGGATTTGGTGTGTTTATGTGAGTCAGTATATTCTCAATGTGTGTATTCATGCGAAGTTTTACAATATACCTGAGATACATTGTTGGTAATGGTTTATTATTTGAAAGTTAGTTTTGCTACTTCATTTAATTTATTGTTACTACGTAAACTTGAGATCTGAATAGCTGCCACTGTTTTATTTCAAAAGTTATATATGATATTTTATAAAATGAGATCGACCTGTTTTATATGTTTTTAAAACCTTGTTCGAGTTTAGGAGGATTTTCCTATAGAGTTTAGTGGTCACCCCCTACAAACAACATCTTTCAGATTATAATTAAGAGGAAGAGCTTGGATTGGATGAGAAGTTGAATTGAGAAGCTCTAATTGATGGGAATGTGGATCCCGAGATGGACGTTTAAAGTTATTTCTTTTATAGTCTAGACTAAAAGGTTAATTATGAGACAATATTGAGGATAAAGTTTTATTTATTTCCACTGCAAGATAATATTTATTGTTTGGATGTAATTATTATGGTTTGACATATTTATTTTGGAAGATGCTTTAGTTATTATGGATGATTAATGAAATTTCTTTAATTTATAAATTTTATTAGTTGCTCTCGTGATATGAATGATTATAGATAGTAATGCCTCTTAGGATAGATTTTGGGGCGTTAACAATTCACATAATTATATTTTATATTTTAAAATTTGATTTTTAAAATATTTATTGAAATAATCAAGTCTTCAAACTTTACGATGTTTTTTTAATGAAGTTATATCATCTAAATTCATTAACAATGATAACGAGAGAATATCACGTGAACGTTGAGCAAATCTATATTTAATCCAAATAAATACGCAGAAAATGAGTCACCATATGTTATTGAGTAATTGAATGGCTGAAATAGAAAGAAATGAGTTACCAGTAGAACATTGACAAATTTTGGTAGAAAGATTTAAGTGAAAGACAACTTAAAGTTTAAGACTCAAATTGTTTCATGTTTTGGGTAATAAATTTTTTTGGGTAATTATATTTCTTCAAGTTATAGTTTAGAGACAAAATAAACATCATATATAAACTTGGTGGATCAAATAAATTTAGATAAATTATACTTTGACCTCCTTAATTATGCATTCAATTGTATTTTATCTCATAAATTAGTAAAGTTTTCATAGTGTCTCCTCAATTACTTGAATTATTTTACTTCGCCCCAAACGTAAATATTTGATATCTTTTGGATAAAAACTGTCGAAATGTCAGACTAAAAAGTTAAAAAAAGTCATTTAGTTATAGGGGACAAAATGAAACTACTCTTTGTTAAATTTGTAACAGACATTAATAATGAGACAGTATAAAACAAATCACATAATTAAAGGTTTAATGTGAAAAATATAATAGTTGTCTTTTATCGTTTTGGTTTGAATTGTCCCAAATTTAACAAAAAAGAAAAAAAAGCTTTCGTGGATGAATGTTGACTATTTCAATATCTATTTCAATTGTAGGGTAGCCCCTGACCTATCGTGCAACACCCCAAAATCTACCTTGAAAAATATTACTATCTAAAAACCATCTCATCATAAGAGCAATTATAATAACTATTAAATAATAAATAATTCATCTATCTGTTAAAGAATAAAATATCGTACTTTCTCCAACTTATAATTCAAAACCAAATAGTATTTAGCAGTGGAGTAATTAAACTAGCTAAAATATTGTTTCATTAAAATCTCTTAAACTCTAAATCAAAAATAAAATAACTTTATTCCTCTAAAACAGGGTCCACGTCTTGATTTTCCAACGGCTCGTAATCAACCTTATTATCTACGTCAACATCCTCTTCTATGTCCATATATGTAAGTGTGTTGTAGGGGGTGAGCAAAAGTCCGTAGAAAATTCCTCTCAAACTCGATCAAGGTTTTAAAACAATGAAAATAAGACAAGTTTCTTTTTTGAAAATAGCATATATAAATTTTTTGGAGTAAAATCATGATAGTTGTAATGATATAAAGTATACGAAAATATTGTAAATCAATGACATGATAACTATGTAAGAAATTAAAGCAATCAATAATTAACTTAGTAGCACCATCCCATAGTCTCATGTATATTGGTTCATCTCCATTCTTATGTATATTGGTTGTTTTTTAGGAATCTACATAATGATTCTAGCTCGTTCACCCATCCTAACCACACAATCTCAATCATTCTCCACAAGGCCAAATTACAAATCACTTTAGGAAAAGGCGCATACCATCTCCCACAACATTAACGAATCCTTCCCAAAAAAGATATATCATCCCTTAGGCTTGAACTTACGTGAAAAATAGTGGTTGCTCTCACAAATAACAATCCACTACAAATGTTAGACAACCATCTCCCTCCCATTGGGATAGACTAACCTTTCACAATTTATGACAGCTCTCGAAAGAAATTCAAGTCCGTCACACCCAAACCATATAAGAGATGAAACCACAATTTTCTCAACAATTGAAATCTTAACCAATCACAATTTTCATTAACAACTCAAGTATCACAATTGAACAATTCTCAATATACTATAGTAATAAAGGAATGCTAATATGCAACAGATTATATCAATAAAACCTTAACAATTTCGATATCCAAATTCTAGGATTTTGTCAAAAATCATAATTTTTTAGAACAAGAACAAGTATAAGATGAAAACAAGATTTAATCAAGAATAGAAATTTAGAAATCAAGAATCCATGTATTTTTCATAACCAAACATGTATTTTGCAAAATTAGGGTTTTGAAAATTCAAGACCAAGTATTATTGGAACCCAAACATATATTTTGTTCAAAATTATGTTTCAATGATAAAGAAACTAATAACTTATAAATATTTATCATATAATTATCAAGAAGATTAAAAATATACATAAATGATACCCTAAATCTCAATGAAAGAACTCAAGAAGAATCTCTTACATTAATTTTGTAGTTTGTGTGTATCTGTCTTGTTTGATTTGTTGCAATGTGAGAATTGCCCTTCAATCTTTTGTTTCACTTCTTCTCTTTTGCTCTCTAGGGTTGCCTAGGGTTAAAAATTGATGAAACGTGACTAAAGAGATGTCCATATGATATTTATAGGGTGAAAAACAGAGAAAACCCTAAAACTAAGCGGGGTTGTTTTTAGAATAGCCTCTGGATGGTGCTTGAGGCGTTCGAAAGATGCAAATTCATTGTTTTGGATGAAAAATAAGATTTTAGGGTAAGAAGTACGGTTCAAACGGTGCTTGGCGAGTTTGGATGATGCTAACTTTCTGTCCCAACTTTAGGAGCAGTTTTCACTTATTTAAAAGTCAATTCAGGAAATTTTCGTGAAACACACTTTTGTAGTCCTTGAAGTCTAGTTTATGCTGTCCAAAAATCAGCTCAAATGGAGTTCGAAAAAAACAATTATGACTAAAATACTAAAATAGTGTCAAATTCTTTCATACTTAAATTCTTTTTAAGATGCGTTTTAACTCCGGAATAGTTTCTAACTTCTAATACACCCCATGTTACATCTTCCAAAGTTTCTCGACCCTCCGGATTCAAAAGAAATCTTATTTTGACCTAAAAATATTTAAAAAATTACCTAACCACCCTTTCCCAAGTTTACACACATTCGAAACTAAGTTTGATGCGAAAGTCAATTCGTCTAAAATTCAAACTTCATGATTAATCTTTTAACAATGATTCAAGATTTCTACAATCCTTTTATTCATCCTAGGATAAATATTAATATGATATTATTTTTATTTAATTCTAGTACATAGTCTTACATATCAGAATAAATAAATTGGTCATTGATTCGAAGATCTACGATGACAAAACCGTCGCCAAGTAGAGCATAATCAAAGAACTTCGCAACAAGGCGTACCCTCCATGCTGCATACCACACCAACTTATGATGCTTGAGTGTGAACACAAACCATGAACTATAAAACCACAGAGATTGTCCCTTTGAAAAGCTAAAAACATATAATTGAGCGAAGGTCCCTTTTCTGGTAACTTGAAGCAGTAATATAATTAAGGATCATAGTTTAGGGGAACAAAGTGTATTTTGCATAACAAAATTTAGCTCTTAACAATTTTCCGCAGACTATATATAACCATCAAATGTTCCATAGAATGCCCTAAATTCACACTCCACCACCAACAGCCATCTCTTTATCAGAAACCTAGACCTGTCCAAGAAGGTCCAACAGAACACAACCTAGTTAAGGTAACCTTTGTGTACCTGTACGCTGATTTGTGTTTTTTGTGAATTCCTGAATTCTGGGTGTACGGTCAATGCTTCACAGTACCTCTTCTCAGCTTTCTGTTTTTAAATGCCGTTTCTGTTTCTCTCTCCTTTCATGTCTTCAATCTTCGACGATTCTCTCCCCTTTGTTTTCTCTTCAACAACTGCTCGAAATCCTAAACACACCATAGCTTTTGAATCTTTTTCTATACAGTTTTATTCTCTGTTCCATCAAAAAAGATCTAGTTCCAGGTGTTTGTGTCCAAGCAATCCATCCTCTGCACAACATGAATGATTCTAAGGTTAGTCTAATATATTTTTTTCAATATATGGTTCATTTATGTTTCTGGTTGTGGGTATGTTAGTTTTAGTGAATTTGATGTAAAAGAGTGTGATTTACCTTATGGGTCATTGGTATCATGGTGTTAAATCGAGTGCATTATGCAAAATTTACGTTGTTTACTGTTGGGACTGAGTTGATGATAGAGCAACTTCAGTGTTAGTACTTGGCAGTTTTTTTTTTTGCTATTGTTGTGTAAAATATATTGTAATTTGTTGTTTATACATGTTTCTTAGAAATGGATATGTTAGTTTTGAAGAGAGAGTATGCGACTTATGGGCGAGTTCCATTGTGTTTGCTATGTTTAGAGAGAAGTACAAAAGTTTCATGATAGTGCCGGGGGTTAGTTGTTCAGTACTGAATAAAACAAATTGCCGGTTGTAGCTTCTTGTGTTATGGGAGTGGTGATTCTTAACGATTTGAATTGAGACAAAAACTTCTCACTGAGCTGATCGTTTGAATGATGTTCAGTTGAAAGAAATATCAAGAAAGTTGCATCATCCCCTTTTCTTTTTTGGGTTTTATTGTTGTCTAGTTGATGAATGAAAGTAGAACATTGGTTTTGTCTTTCTGGTATTTGATTTTACTGGAATGGTTTCCTTATCTCCTCAATTAAGGGGAGTTTTAGCTCATTGTCATTCATCATGGATTTCGAGTGGGAGGAATCAAATGAACAATGGGCTTGTGTAGATACTTGTTGCTGGAGTGGGGATGTTTGTTTTTGGTGGTTCTTCTGGAGACATAGCATCTTTTTCTTTATATCCATTTGATGGTTGCAGAGGATAAGTCAATATAAAAAGGGTTATACGATAACAATGAAATCACTACTTCATAACAACATCCTATATGTAGGCAAACGATGAAAAGCAAAAGACCATTGACTTGAAGTCCAGAATGAAGTCTTATTTGCTTGTCCAATAGAATTTTCCAAATCACAGGCATTGAAGTTCAAAAAATGCTGAAAAGAATGGGCAAATAGTTTATCCATGTAAGGTCATTTGATAGTCATCAAGACTGTAAGCATAGAACCTTCTTCAGCATTTTATATTTTTTCCTCTATTTCTTCCTTCTTCTTTTTTTCATGTGTGGAGAATTAGAACATCAATGGTGGTGTACCAGTCTTTTGTATGTTATTTTTTTGCTATTTCTCCCTTATTAATAGCTACTGCTCAAAATAAAACCTCATCAAAATGTTGGCGATATATAAGGGGTCTTTTTTTGCATTGAGGGACAAACGTAACTTAGCTACAGCCATCCAGTTCCTTTTCGGAATTCCTTCTCATAAACAATGGCAAAAGTGATTTTCAGTTTGTAAGTGTGCTATGCTGTCTCCCTTTACTTTTTCATTTGATGAATCCATGATACGCTTTAATTCTCAATGGCTTATTCACTTTAATAGCTTGTAAAATCTTTCAAATTGATGTTGTTTCTTGGAATATATTGAGAATAAATATGTAATTGAGTTTTTCCTGGTTAAGCAATTGGTTTTTATACTGCTTTGACCCCTTTTCTTTTGCAAAATTATGTGTCTCGCACCTTAGGCAACTGTCTAAAGAGTTTCCTCATTTTGAGCTCATAAAAGGCGCATTGAAGCTTTTTCCTCATCCTAATCATCTGACACCTACTTTAGTTGTGGTTTAACCTGTTCTGGTGTTCCTATTTTGTCTTAGTTCTGGGTGCACTGGTTGCATGTAGATTTTTAGAGGATGTCTTGTGTAGCTGGTGAGGGGGCTGTGCCTGATTGCTGTTTTGTTCATCCATGGAGAGCAGCACATTTGTATCCAGTGGTACATCTTGAAGGAGTGGGATGGGCATATTTGTAATGGGGTAAAGATGCCAACTTATAGGCCAAAGCATTCGATATGAAGATCTTGTTACCTCAGTCTTTTGGGAGCATGGCAACATTTAAAAACATAGGATGGAGCTTTTATATGTTGAAAATTGATGCCAAAAATGTTGAACTAAGAGTATAGAGGTCAACATGCCAACCAACAGTTACGAGAGAGACAGAGAGAGTACGGTAATCAAAAAATATTTGAAAATACTGAGATCGAGTACTATAGTTGTGTATGAAATGCACATGCACACAATCAGTATATGGAATATACCTCTAACTTGATGATAATAATATGTACAGGTGCTTAATATACGTGATTTCATTAGGCACTTGTTATGCTCCCTCAATCTGGTGAATGTGTGGAATGCACTATGCAGATGGATGAAAGAAACTCTTCCTCCAAAAGTGTGTCATCGTTGCATGGGTGCAGAAAATACATTAGCCATTTGTTTGTGGATCAACCTTGAACCTCCCTCTGTGACATAGAGCAAAGGTTGCCTCCTTGGCTGGTTATAGGTTGCTTGCTTTGGTTTGTTTGGCTGAAAGGAATGATAAGCTTTTGATAACATTGGAAGGTGGTATGTGCCATACAGCCATACCTGCTGACATTCTTGTGGACATGATTACGAATTCACTAAGGCTTTCTTTAGAGTCTCCTTGTCTTTTATAATGAGAGTGGTGTTTGTGGGTTAGGGATTGTTTGTATATCAATCTACTATTTGAATCCTCTTACATTGGTACACCAAGTTGGTTAGACATGTTCCTTTTATGTGACCTCATTCAATAGGGCTTTGCTGATATTCTCAGAGATTTGGTAAATGCCATTGAACAACCTTTTTTTGCCATATTTGTAAGTTATATTCTATTCGGGCTCGATTGTGGCTTTGCTAGTGGATGAGTAGACTAGGCGAGAGGATGAATCAACATTCATGTTTTGGCTTTTAGGTGCTTATTGATTGCTCTAAGTGGAGATTTTGAGCCTTTTGGAAGCATAATTCACTTACATGGTGGGTTTTTGGATGTTGTTCAAGTGGTGGTCCTTCTGGCTTTACATATTTAAAAACCAAACCCCCGTCTTCCTTAGGTCCTGTGTACCTTGTTCGAGAATTTGTCCTTGCTCTCTTTAATCTCCTTTCTTCCCTTCAACCGATTTGAACTTATCTTCATTATTGAACAACGATTTTCATCAGAAATTTAAAGAGGAAACAAACCTTGTGATGGTGGAGCATGAAGCTTAGGAATAGTGTGGTGAGTGTTGTGAGATGTGTACTTTGTTTCTCTTTAATGCAACAGTGTTGTTGTTGGCACTTTCTTGTGGCTTTACATTAACTGGCCATATTGACAAAATTTATACTGCTTATGTGTGCTTTTTGTTTAGTTCTGTGACGTTTGGCTTCTTGATGTCAGTTGGGTTTTTTCTTAACACTCCCACCCCAACACAAAAAAGAAAAAAAAGAAAAAGAAAAACAAACTTTTTTTTTTGGGTGCTCGAGTAATGTGGACCCTCTGTCAGTGAATTTGTTGCTTCTATCTGCCTCTTGCAGGTGCTAGTATTTGGTTCATTTACTGAGGAAGAAACCAGGTCATGGCTGGGGCAGTCATCTGAAAATGCTGAAAATCCTGTGGAAAAGAAAGAATCACAAGTTGTTTCTACGACTTTAGGGTCACAAGTTGCGAGTGAATTATTTTTCGACAGTTTCACTGGTGAATCTAGCATACATCTGGGTTCTTCAAAAGGGCCAACTGGGTCTCATCCATCCAGTATAGGGAAGAACAATATAGTCAGCATTGTAAAAACAACAGGTGATCCCTTGCCAGGAGTTTTGAAAGAAAATGGAGTCATTCCTACGGTCCATTGCTCTATTGCTAATGGCAATAAAGCACCTACAGCAGTAGATGGCATTGATTTTCCTTCTTTATGCATATCTGGAAGTGCAATTGTGACTTCAAAACAATCTCCCTTTGTGACTCTGCAAGGAAATTCAAATGGGACTATCCAGGATTCATCAGTAGTAGCACATGTTGTAGAGGATGGCCAGAAGGGCTCTAATGGGCCTGCTATACCTGGTGGAGACTTGTTGCCTCGAGGCTTAAGCAACTCAGGAAATTTATGCTTTCTTAATGCTACGTTACAAGCTCTTTTATCATGTTCTCCATTCGTTCAGCTTGTACAGGAACTAAGAATGCGCAATATTCCCAAGGTTAGTTTTTTCTGACATGTTCTTTTGGTTAATATGTATGCATAATATTTTGATTTTAGTAGAGCATTATAGATGATTATAATTTGAAAGGTGTGAGCTCTTCTGTAATATAATATTAATGGTGAGCATGCCTATCCATGAAAAGGCTGGTCTTACCTTGATTTTCTTTTTCAGCTTGGCTATCCCACAGTAGCTGCATTTGTTGAGTTTGTTGCTGAATTTGACATGCCCAGTGGGGCAAATTCAAAGAAGAAAGATACGGATATTCTTGAAACTGGCAGGCCTTTACGTCCCGCCATGTTTGAAGGTGTTCTGAAAAAGTTTACTCCTGATGTGTCCAGTAGCGTCTTAGGGAGGCCAAGGTCCGTTGCATTTTATGTATTAGTTATTTTTCCCTCTGCTTACTTTTTTTTTTTTTTGATTTTGTTTCTTTTGCTGATTCTTGTTTACAAAACCTAGGACAGTTGATATCTGCTTATACTTTCACCTCAAGACATGATCCTTGCCTCTGTGCTATGCGTATGCATATGCCTATGTACCTTAAAACATGATCCTTGCCCCCCCTCGAGTTTTTTTTTTTTTTTTTGGGGGGGGGGGGGTTAGTTGTGTGACTGTCTATTTAGTTTCTGTTAAAGTGTTATTGCGGCACGGCACCAAATTTGAAGTATAAATTCAGCATTATGAGGATTAAAACCCCAACAAAGCAGATACTCCCGACATATTATGTTGTCGTCTTGTGGTGCTTGAAATTAACTTGAAAGCTTTTATAGGGAAAGAAAGAACCTGTTTAAAGGGAAGAATTTTTGTGCCATATCTGGACAGATTTTTCATTAGAAAGTAGGAGTTGAACATGCGGATATGACAATTCTGAATTATGCTGTGCACTTCAGATGTTGACTGTCATTTATTGCTATGGTGTAGTTTATTTAAACAAACTTTAACTATCTTGGAAATTCGTTTCAAACGTTCTTAACCTTTTCAGGCAAGAAGATGCACAGGAGTTTCTGAGTTTCATCATGCATCAAATGCATGACGAATTACTTAAGCTTAAAGGGCAATTATCAAGCTTAAATGGGGGAAAGTCATCTTTTGTTTCTTCTGAAGAAGATGATGAGTGGGAGACAGTTGGCCGAAAGAACAAATCTGCAGTGACGAGGACACAAACCTTTGTGCTTTCAGAACTGAGTGCAATTTTTGGAGGGCAGTTGAGAAGTGTTGTGAAGGCTAGAGGTAAGGCTATTCTGTAACTGACATGACTATGTGCTGTGCTATGCTGGTTAAGAAAATATATATGATATGTTATCCACACATCAACAGGCCAGCAGTATGAAAACATGTGGTTTAAAGATAACACAGAAGATATGTTTATAAATGTGTAATATATATGTACCATGGATATATGCTTGTTTGTGGATATCATTTATCTACAAAGAGGATATATATGCACAAATAAATGCACCCATACTGAACATTCTCCTTGTGCTACTTCTTGCCTACTTATTTATAGTCTTCTGTAATATCTTATTTATATACTATGGTGGTGGTCGTCTGCTCTTTTCATTTGTTATAGCAAGGCAAATGTGTTGCAACTATTTCTGTGTTTGACTCATCTTGATGAATTTTGTATTTGATGTCAATAAACTTATGTTAAATTGTTAACATGCCTCAGAGAGTCTGAAATGTGTGTAAGTGTGCCTGTGAGTGATTGCTATGTCTGACACATGCGTAAACGCATGTTTTACTTTCTACATTATTGATATGTAACGGCATGCTCTCAATTCAATAAAATCGTTTGTTCCCTAGCCAAAAAAAAAAAAATAGTGCACAACATGTGTTAACAATCTTCTCATGTCCTTTTCATACTCCTTTTTTTATTCTTCTCTAGTTTTCCCTTTTTGTTTGTTACACTCTTTCTTTTTCTTTACACAGCTGTTTTAGAAGTCCTTAATATCCAAGCTCTCAAAATCTTGAGCCTAACAAACTAAATGTATTGGATTCTTGCCAGGACAAATTCCAGTTTGTTATAATTTATCTTTTGTACTTATCCCTCCACCCCTATTTTTTTTTTATTTTTCTCTATTTTTCCTTTTTGGTTTGTTACACTCTTTTTCTTTATTCATGTTTAAGAAGAACATATTCCTCCATGTCTGACCCATCTTGGTGAAATGCATCACTTTTGGTGGCATATAATGTCAATGAAGTCAAACATCCAACCACCATAAATATCATTTATCTGTAAACTTTGCCAGAAAGTTATGTTACTCTGTCAGATTTAAAGCCTTTTGATTTGGATGTGTATTTGTGTAACAGGAAACAAAGCCTCTGCTACTATTCAGCCATTTCTCTTGCTCCATCTTGACATTTCCCATGAAGCTGTTAGTACTGTTGAAGATGCTCTTCGTTTATTTTCTACACCCGAAACACTCGATGAGTACCGGATATCAACAGCTGGAAAGGTAATTTATCTTACTGTTTTTGAATTCTTGTGTTGGGGGCCGTAAACAAATTACTATGACAATGAGGTAGGAAAGAGACCCTAAAGAGAGAGCATGGGAAATCAATCCATATTTGGCTGCAATTGACTCCCTGATCTCGTGGTTGGGAAAATCAGCAGTGGCCAACTAGAGTAGACTCAGTTCTGTTTCTTCCTTTTTTTATCATCATAATCACTAACCCCCAAATGCATTTAGTGAGGAAAGAAAGACGTACATCTGCCAAAGAGCAGTACAAAATAGTCAACTCAGGAAAGATGGATATTCTCCTGCTTAAATCTGTTGATTTCTTCTGCTTGACATAGCTGATACCAATGGCAGAGATGACCTCACAGCACCCATTCGTTTACTCTCCTGATGAGCAAAGGCAATGCCCTAATTTTTGGCGTCCTAGTTGCTTTAATGGTAGCAAATGAAAGAAGAATTATAAGGAGCAGTTCTAGTGGAAAAATTATGGCCCAGAGATGGACCCTAAATTCGGAGGATTACAATTTCTCAAATAAGGAAGGAGAATTCAAGAGCATCTTCAATAATATCAAAAATGGAAGGCAACTTACTTACTGGAAAAAAGAAAGACAACTGCAGTTTTTTAGTTATTATTCCAAAAGCTGAGGCAACTGAGATTTTGAATTAAGAAGATTGCTCTGTAAAAAAAAATTTTGACGCTAAAATTATTATGTGTGTGGTAATGATAGCGTTAGGGGATAGATAAAGAAAAACTGAAATGTGGTATTGTTCTTCGAAAGTTGGATTTCTGAAGCATGTCATAACAAGTACTAATCTTAATGCCCAAGCTGAGAAACTTTAGCTTGTTGAGTGGATTCTCAAGGAAAGGTACAAGCTGACCAACCATTCCCCCTTGGTGTTCCAGTTATGACGGAGTGAATTTTCTGAAATGTACAGATCAAAAGAAAGGGGGAAAAATGCTCCGAGTTGCATGCAAAATCTGTCCTAGCTTTCTAGTAAATTTTCAGACATTTGTAAAATGCGGAAGTTGTAGTCCGAATGTTGGAAGTTAGCGTAGGTACCGGTATCATGCTGTCGTAGCCCTAGGTGCCGGTACCAAGTCTTGCAGGTACCGGTACCTAGAAACCAGAATGCCCAAGTACCGGTACCACGTAATAGTGGTTCCGGTACCTCTTCTAAAAACTTGAAAATTTAAAATGTAACATCGTCGAGCCTTCACATCTTGGGCACTCTTCTTTGAATGATGTAAATGGGAAAATATTAAGTCCTAAATTTACGGTTTGGACCTTGGAATGGTTTTATAGATAATATCTCAACAGGTTATGTGTTGGGTAGTGCTCCCGTGTAAAGGAGGTTCTGTCTGGATTCCGTTTTGTTATGATCCAGGTGAAGGGGTGTAACGACGTGGTATCGAGTTATGCGATAGCCATGAGTATTCAGTGAGTTGATGGTTGATCAACGGGTTGAGGAAGGACCCCGGATTTTGGGGCGTTACACTAGGATATTAGAACTCCTCAATAAGTAAAGACACACAAAACCTAGAGAAGGAAAATGTACTTTAGTGTTCTGTTGTAAGAGTAGTATGAAGTTTAAGTTGGTGTTTTCAAGGGCTCTCTAGACAGCACTGGTATCCCCTTAGGCTCATTCTGAGAGCTGCTAAAGAATTGTGAGCTTCAGTGTTAGGCATACAAGATGCACACTTCTTTGTATGGGTAACCATCATGATTTATACAATTATTGAAACAATCATTTTCTTCTCTCATTTGAGCCAATGCATTATTACTACGAATACACACACACACTCACACATCCCCTCACGATGGCTGCTCGTTTATACGGGTAGTCTTGCACCTGTGCATGCACAAAGTCTTGTACAGCTATATGATGCATATATACATCTTTAGTTCTGTTCATTGATATAATTCTTTATTTTTAAATTTAAGTCTGCATGTGTTTATAATTGTGATGAATGTAGCTGATATGGCCTTGTTATTGTTAATGAACCATAGCTGATGAATGTAGCTGATATGACCTTGTTATTGTTAATGAACCATAGCCTATTTCTGGGTGGATCTTATTAGTGATGAGACGGTGCACAACTGTGGTTAGGCTTGTATTGTTTTCCGTGGTCTACAATATCTGCTAACTGTTTAGTTGCTTTGGTTGGATCCTACTTTTGAAACCAATTCATCTTGGTCCTCATGTCCAATTACATTTATTTAATGCTTAATGTTAACATTGACGCTTTCTTTATTGCATTGTTGATGCATTCACTTCTGGAGTTTACTTGTCCATGTTCGAGCTGTGTTAGCTTAGCTTTGTTAGAATTGAGAAATATCATTTTTTATGCTTGCTTTCAATTTGGTGCCATGTCGTACCATGATCTGGCATTCTAGCTCTCTCAATTTCAGTGGAATGGTCAGTATTAGATCATGTCATGTGTGTTTGACATATGATGATCAAGTATTAACACATTACTTTCCAGGCTGGAGTTGCAGCTGCTAGAAAATCTGTAAACATACAGACACTGCCCAAAATAATGATATTACACTTGATGCGTTTTGGCTATGGAATCCGTGGAAGCACCAAACTGCATAAACCGGTGGGGTTTCCTCTTGAACTTTTGCTAAGTCGTGACTTGCTTGTTTCTTCAGCTAGTGAGGTATTGTTCCTTTACATTCTTTATTTCTTCTTTCTTTGTTCTCTGTTAATCATTAAGAATAATTTTTTGTTTTGCCCATTGAATGATGTCTCTTTGGAAAAAATAGTTATAATCTTCTCTCCTTTGTGACCCATACATTCATTTCTAGATTTTGAACCACATTATTGGATTATGTGGCTTCCCTGCCAGAGTTTTGTTTATCCGGTGCAGATTTTAATGATAGTTGTATTGTCTCTAATGATTATGTACATTACCCAAAGTTAATCAATAAAAACATTTCATTCTGGCCTTTGTTTTCATGTAACATGTTTCTTGATGTGTTGTTCTATGAACTGTTTCATAATACACTCAACAAAAGATAAAAAAATATTGCAGTTTCATAATAGGACAAAACTTTATGAACCTTTAAATCGTCTGACAATCCTCTCTATTGCTTATTGTGTAATCCAACTCTTTTTTCTATAGAGTTCATACATCAAAGGGAAGATCACAAACTGCCGAATTAAAACTCTCTAAATTATTTCTCATCTTGCCTTTTGCAGGGCCGAAGATTTGAACTTGTTTCCACAATAACCCACCATGGGAGGGAAGCCTCAAAGGGGCATTACACTGCTGATACCCTTTACCCTAATGGTCAATGGTTACGGTTTGACGATGCATCTGTCACTGCCATCAGCACAAGCAAGGTGTTGCATGACCAGGCCTATGTTCTCTTCTACAAACAAGTAAGATGACAAACAAGTAAGATGACAAACAGGGGCTTTCATCAAGTATACATTACAAAGAAGCAAATCTATTGCATTCATGTAAGTTGTTATGGAGATGATTTGGCTGCCACGTGTAAGCTGGTCTGGCCCTTTACCTAGGGTCGTCCTCGGTTAAGGTTGGAGTGCCTTCAGTTTGGGATGTCATTCAGAATCTGAAATTGTAACTTTAATTGCAGCCATTCGAAGATGTACGAAAATTTTGTTATTCTTTCTATTTAATTGAAGCTTTATGATATGCAATCCTCCTTTTGATTCAAGAAGTTTGGTTGTTATGACATTGTGAGCCACGAGATTTTTCATGTTATACGTGTTGTGTAGAGTTAGAAGATGCACAAAACCACATCTTGAAATGTTGCGTAGGATAATTATTAACTGCTAAGACCAGAAATTGTCTTTTTGGGAAGGTCCTGACGGAGTGTGTTTTCGCAACTCCAACCGTTGACACCCAAGTCACAATGAAACCATTTTACTTCTGCTCCAAGATTGTTTTTATACCTTAGATTATCATCGTCCTTATACCATACTTCAGTAAATTGAAGCTCTTTCATTCCTGCAGACCCCTAGATTGGTGGTTTGAATTATTTGAATGCACCCTTGACGTATTCAAAGAAACCATTTTCAAAAAGTAACATTGATGGCAAAGGTTGTGTCCAAATGGCATCAGTTCGTAATAGTAACATGATTTTCAGCTTCATTACACTTTTAATGCACTGTGGGTGTCTAGGAATCGTTGCGGAAACAGTCTTTCTGTATGCTACGATAAAACCAGAAGCCTTAACAAACTATGAAGTGAGCCTCATGCACTTGGTCGCCCTTTAATAAAGATGTTTCCAACATAACTTTTCATTTTCTTCCCTGTGTTGAGGATTAGATGTTTTCTGAAATTAGCCTAGGTCTTGATCTCTTATAGAACTCGTTATACCAAAATGTTGTATCTACAATGTCAACAGAAATTTTCAGTTGTTTGGCTGTTGTAGGTGAAAAGATTGAATTTCTTTTCTTTCCTTTTTCTTCAACAAGCGTTCGGTCCCTGAGAAGAAAATGACCAGAAAAACCAGGAAGTAAAATTTTTAAGAGTTTAGGAGATTGCATTTCCTCCCAGAAAGAGCCTAATTCTCTGTTATAAGCCACTGAGGAAAAAGGTGAGGTGGAAAAAAAAATAAAATATTCAGAATCTTAAAAGTACCTTCAATATGTGAGATCTGATAAAACAAAAAAAACCTTGCAATCAACTGAGACTAATACAGCAGGTGAGGGGAGGTTATATTCTATAGAAATAGATTAAAATCTCGAGATTTCGAAAGTTTTTACTTTTTTTCTTCAGATTTTTTAGGAAGCAAACAAAGGATGAAGGCAATAGACACACATAATATGTCACTCAGAAAAAAAGGTACCTTTTCTTTGGTAATGCAACACTAACAAGCTGATCTTTCCCCTTTTGTCTGATTGGAAGTTATAAAATCACAATATCTATTACAATAATTTGCTCAAAAGTGGAACTCTTTACCTTCCATTTTCTCTCTCCTTAGCTAATTGTGCATGCATCTTCACTCCCTTTAATTTTAATAATGTTTTGAGTAAGATTTGATTTGCTCCAGCCATTCATTTCACAAGGGTTATATACAAGACAGGCACTAGTTCAGTGGGCATTGCTATTCATAATCTGGTAGTGCCATTTGATTATTGCAAATTTCAGCCAACAGCATGTCTTTCTTCCCAGAAGAAATCAGGCTGATTGCTATCACTTTTTGTCTGCTCCAAAAAAGTTTGTAAAAAACTATTCTGTAGTTAGGAGTCCTTCCTTTTCTAAATTGAAAGAATAAAGATCAAATTGAAATAGGTGCCTTCCTTCCTTGAATGCAACAGAAGAATTCTCCCTCTCTCTCTCTCTCTCCACACATCACACACACAACAAGCTCAATGGTCTAATTTGGAGGATGGAACTTTGTGTTTATTAAGAGCAGTGACTGGAGAGGAGATGTATTAGGCTGTACTTGACAATTTTTGAATAGCTGCTGAGAGTTGGTTTGTGCAAGCAATATCTGTCTTGATTTGTTGTCGGCTATGAATGCTGTGTTGTTTTGAGAGATTCATAAACTATAATTTCTATTATAAGGCTCTAAGTGATAGAAACCCATTGTAAATTGGTCACATTTAGTCCCCAAAAAGTATAGGTTAAATCAGATCCACTCTAGAGAAATAGAGAGATAATTTAACCACTGAATACTAATTGCCCTTGGATGAATTTAAGTATTGAACTATTATTTTGATTTAATGGATCTTTATGGTCCAATCTGGCGAAGATTTGTTGGTATTTTATATGATAAGAGAGTAGAATAGCGGTTAATAACTAGACAAATTTTTGGAACGAGAAGCATCATGGATTTCTGATCTAATCATTTGAATGTGCCATCCAAAAACACATCAATTCAGAGTAAAATTTGATGAAAATGAGCAAATATTTAATGAAATTAAAAGAGTTGTAACATAAGGTCACAAATTTGATCATGGAGAAAATAACTTCATGCAGCAATTGTAATTGTGTCCAACATTATGCAGGGGATATTACTGAAGCATATTGGATCTGATCTTTTCTGCCATTAGTTTATATGTAAATCTGTTGGAATGAAAGATTGTCCTGGTGACAGCTACAGAAGCATTTTAAACAATAGAAAGTAAGATACAGATTCAATGGCTTAGAGCAAACCCAATACTTTAGTCTTTGTCAGCCTTCACTTTCCTTTTTCCCTGCAAGTTGCCAAGATTTCTTTAACAAAAGGGACTGTAACATTGAAAAACATAAAATTTTAATCATCTTGAAGGAAATTATTTGTGTACAGAATAAGTATTTCATTGTATTTGTGGAAACAGTTTCTCCGCATTTGAGGTAAGGCTACGTATATCTCACCATCTCGAGACTCCATATTAGCGGGAGCCTCGTGCACTGGCCCCCATTTTTAGATGTGTGTAAACCAAAGTTAGAAAGAGCAAGCTGCTCCCCCAATGCCTCACAGTTTTTTGCTCCTTTCAGATCTGGTACTGTAAACAACATTTCAATCTCTCTGTGGAGTGATGACAATGATGCAGGTTCTTTCTTCCTCCAAACAGAGCTTTTAAGGAGAATATATAACTAAGTGGGAACAATAAACTTGATGAACCAACAAAAGAAAAATCTAAAGCATAAGGAATCAAAACCAACTAAAGAAAGTCTCTACAAGAACGGTTGTCGGCAGCATCCCTTCCTTTGATTTCGTAATAAGTAACTGCTCTCCTCCTGGACTAGGGTCTAGGGCCGAGAATTAGTTGTGTTGTGTTGTGTTGGGTCTAAATCGTGTTGTATTAAATTTTCTCAACCTGTACCCGATCCATATATAATTGTGCATAGCAAGGTTCGAGTGTATGAGTCATGTTTAACAGATTGGTATTGCATTTAGCCAGATTCTTATCGCCCAATTTATTTAATGGATATAACGAGTCACCCGAAGCTGCTAAGACTAAATCCATGCCTGCTAATTCCGCGTTGATTTTGTGTCAAGTTCATGGTTCATATCTAAAAATGCCAAGTCTAACCTAGACATAGGTGCTGAACCAGTGTTTAATTTTTTAAGCTTGAGGGAAGTCCTTGTATAGATCACAATTATCTACTACAATCTAGCAACAAAAGGCAAGCAAAAAGATTTATAAAGAAAGAAACAGAAATAAATTATCAGAATAATGAAAAGCTTCCCTGCTCATTTAAACAAAACTGCTTCTTCAAGTTCTTCGATTTTATAGACTGAGCTTTTAGGATTTTCTAAAAGCGTCTCAGCATTGTTTCTCAATAATGTTGGGGGTAAAAAATGCCATGTTCTAGTCTTCTTGGGTCCTTGTACCAAAGCTCAGATAGTTGTTTGTTTAAGTTTGTCCTAAACAAAGAAGGATAACAACTACAGACACAATAAATTTTTTAGCTAGACTATGCAGGAGCTGCAATATAAGTATATCAGTGCAATAGAATATCAAACTGCGCCAGTGTTGTATTCAACACTGTCAGTCCCAAGCCAGAATAAAAGAGGAGGGTTGCGTTAAGTAGCTGACAGCTAACGTAAAATTTTGTCGGATCCACTATGATGAGTCCAAACAATGATAGATGCGCTAATGCTAGGTCGTTCCTCATAAGTGATGGACGCGTTGCGCATGCCTTGGGGCATTTTGAAAAATCAATTAGGGGCACTGCGCCTACCTCGAAGCGTTTTGATAAATAAGTTAGGGGTGTCGCGTCGGCGCTTGGGTGCAGTAATAAATGGGCAAGGGTCTCTGCGCTATGGATGGACGTCGGCAGTAAGGAAGCTAGTCGATGCAAATAATTTAGCCGACCCCAAATGATTGAGGCATAAGGCTTGGTTTGGTTTAGTGCAATAGAGTATCACTGAACTTCTATAGATTTGATTCCCTTAGAATTCTGCATATAATCCACTAAATTCTTAAACCTGTATGAGATAAAGAGACCAGGGAACAAAAACACACTGTCATGTTCCTCAGACTTGCTTCAAACTTTTACAGCTTACCCTTGAGATTGGCCTCGTTTTCGCCATTCTGTTCGAATACTTAAGAGCTGAATGGTGCCATGTACTCTAGTGAAGTGTTGGGAACATATCAAAATCTATAGCAATGATTAATTACTTTTAAAATCGTTGACACCTACCATATTGTGAAATGTTTTAGAATATAGGTTCGAAAAAAACAACAGTTCTTCTCAAAGGAAATTTCCGAAATGTCAAAATAAATTTTGTTGACTGGGTACGAAACGACTGCGCATGATCGAAACAGTTAATGAAACCACGTGTTTTAAGTGCGTGACAAGGAACACGTGCAAGAAGCACGTGGAGAACTAGTCTTCATTACAACCAACCAAACGTATGACTAAAGTGTTTGGCTGAATAGCCGTGCTGTCAATATAACCAAGTCAAAAGTAAGACCAAACAAATATCGCAACCGGACTTGCAAACAAGAATCATTCAGAGGATGAGACAGCTAGGCTATCTCGATAAATTAGAGATAGGGCTAGACTAATAAGACAATCACCTAAATCATAGAACGCACCCCAACTATTGGATAAATGACATAGCGGGGAGAAATTCCATAATTAATTGAAAGCAATACGGCTGAGAATTAGATGAGCCATCAAATATAGCCAACGGCTACAATCTTGATAGGATAGTTGCCATGCTTGAGTATAAGGTACATACTTTTGAATCCTGCAATTTCTTTGCTTTTTTTCAAGACCTTTACTGACTTTTGAATCGTGCAAATTTCTTTGTTTTCTTTCAAGACCTTGATTAACTTAAAACATCAAAGTGCTTCTAACCGGCCCACTCTCGGTCTCTGGTAGTTTGTTCATTTTAAATCATATCAAAAGGTAGGAAAATTTTCTCTCTTACACTTACGTCCCTCGAGTTTTTTTTTCCTGTTTTGTTTACGAAGAATAGTTGAATTTTCATTCATTCACCATCGTTGAATATTTTAAATTTGAGGTTTGGTTCACATTGAGATCACATGTTTCATGACCAAGGCATATACTAGTCTAGGAGGAATTGCAATTCAAAGATTGGAAAGTGGAACTTGTTTATAGCAACCTTAACCAATTGAAAAATATTTCTTTACCGAAAGTGCTTAGACTTGTTGCTTCAACTTTTCTGCTGGTCCATCTAAGTTTGTATCAAACAATACTGAAATAGTGTGGGGGTGGCAGCATCCTTTTGAAGTTTTGTTGGTGTCTGTTGAAATGGTTGCTTGCTTTCTTTCAAATGAATCAAAACTCTAACTCTCTCTCTCTCTCTCCCCCCCCCCCCCCCTCCCCCCAAAAAAAAAAAAAACACAAAGTTTGGGGCAGTCAAAATTCTAAGGGTGGTTGGAATGTTCTTACTAAACTAGGAATAGTGCCGGTATAAAAGATACATATACAATTCTAAAGGTAGTTCAAATAGTAATAGGAACGTACTAAGTTCGAATATTAAAAATTCCTTGGAATCAGATCATAAAAGATTTATCTTTCATGAATACCCTGGTCCCAACATGAATGGTTTGGACTAAAGAGAGAATTAGTCGAGGTGCGCATAAATTGGCTTGGACACTCATAACCGTTGAACCACAAAAAAAGAAGAAGATATATGTTTAGATTAGGATACCTATTCTTTATGGGCAATTTTCGAACTAAGTAACATCACTTCTTGGGTTGTTTCTTGAGATTGCTGTTTCCTTTGAGAGGAGTTAAAGAACTGTTCCTTCGCTTTTGCTGTCTATTCCCATGGAAGGTGGTCAGCATCTCAAAAAAGAAAAGGGAAGGAAAGTGGAATGCCCCATTCTAGCATAAAGGAATCAACGTTATGCAGTGTTAATAGACTGGGATTACTAGATGAACCAATAATTCCAAGGGCTGTCATATTAAAAAGATTATTGTTATTAAAATCAAGTAATCGCATTCAAAAGGGTTTGGTTAACTGAATGACATTTTATACAATTCAAGTTGTGTATAATTGTATAAAAATATTCGAGTAGTCATGACTATCATCACTAGAAGACTTGAGAGAATCGAACCAAAAATATGACGGGTGAAAATCAAGAAGCTCTAACAAGAATAAATGCTTGGTGGGCCTTGGGAGTAGGGTGTGAATCGTGTCGTATTATTTTTGTGGTGTCATTTTCGGTATGTGTCGTGTTTATATCGATATAAAATTATTTAATCCTACAACTCGTATAATACTATTTAAAAATTTTAAAAAATTATAAAATAACCATTTTTTGTTTACAGTATCCATTAAATACTTTTTTTTGGTCTACAATACCCATTAACACATTATTTATGTTTAATTTTAATTTGACCAATTTATTGTAAGTGTCAATTAATCGGATCATTTTTGAGTTTTCTATTTGGTCGAATTCGTAGGTAAAATTGACATCTCTACTTGAGAGCATATGCCAATTATCGATCTAATTCTCATAGTCTCGTATAGCTTTTCTCTAAAAGGAAATAAGCTCGATCAAAAACTAAAGGAGGGTGCTGCTCAAAGAACAACAAGAGCTCATTGTGCGGGCTGTGGCCCTTATTCTCTCAAGTGTGTACTTAAACTCTATAGCTTGTCTATATGCCAGGTTGAGGTTGCCCTTATTATTCCAATCCTTATCATTGTAGAACAAAATATTAGAAAACAAAACACTGTACAGCATCACATCTGAACACTTTCCACAGTCCCTCTCAAAACCAGTTGTTCAATTCCTGTTATTCTTGATGTTTGAGGCAATCACTTGACCAGAGAAATTCTTACCACCAACTTTTTTTTTTTTTTTGGTGTTTAACGGACAGGAATGTCCAACTCAACTTACGTGCACCTCAACTAATTCTCTCTCTAATTCGGTCAAAAACAGGTCATCAACGTCGAGATTAGGATATTCATGATGGATAAATCTTTAATGACATGACCTTAAAGAATTGTCAAAATTCGAACTTAGAACGTTTAAATTTATAAATTGTCCTTATTAACACTTGAACTACCCCTTGAAATTCTTACCGCCAACTTTCAGTATTCAAATGTTGATGATAGTCTCACAGAGGTAAATCATGGAAACTGATAGCAAAATAGATTCTACAGGGAACAAAAAAAATGGTGCATATCCAATCCCTATTATAAAGGAACACATAAAAAGAACCCCAAATGTAACCTTGAATTCTACTGAAAATTTTCTAATTCCAAACAAGAAAAAGTGTCTTAAATTCATCTCTCCATCAAATTCTTGTTTGTCCTCCAACTCCATTACAATAATGTCATTTCAGTTACATTTTATATAACCGAGAACCGTTCAAACCATCCATCTTTTGACTTGTGATTGTTATGTAATCTCAGGATATACACAATAACATAATCATTTGTAAATTTACGCATCGATTTCAGAATAATTTAACTCTAATATCGTCAATATATTTTTCTTGTATTTTACTTTTCTGCCTGATTCAGAGAATGCTTATGTCCCACTAATGGTAGGTTGGTTTTAAGGGAAAACCAAGTCTCGAGCAAAAAGGCTCAACAGATATTGAAGTGTATGTATGAGAAAAAGTATAAAGCAAGTAGGCTTCTGAAAAGAGGCCTCCACTCATCTCTTTTTCAAGAAGCTTCATTTCTTTATTGTGAAGGATTACAGTTTTTACCATGTCAAATTTCTTTACTGTTGGATACTACAATATTGAAGTCTTCAATTAAAATTAGTTCCCAGATAGATATATGTCATTAACCTCAATTTCCAAACTTTTGTAATTGTCCAACTCTATTTCCCTTTTATAGTAGTTTTTAACTTATGTCCCAACCTATCGTGATTTTAAAAAACACGTTTTGATGACACGCTTTTACATTAAAAAATGTATTTTCCAAGCAAAATTTTAAGGGTGGCTTTTTTGTTGAAAGCATGCTTTGTAGATTCTCTTTCACATTAGAAAGCATAAGTTTAAACAACACGTTACGAAGACTACGATATAGTGAGAAATAAATCAGAAACTTTTGTTACGGGAGAACAAAATAGTAAAATCTGGATAATTTGTTAAAGAAACTCCATAATTTACAGGCTCAAAAAGAAGGAAAGAAACTGTTGAAAGTGAGGAATAAGGATCTGGGGTGAAGGCTATGATGCTGAATAATGATAATAATGATGGAAAGAAACAGGTACCAAAAATAAAATAAAATCATTAACCAAAGAGAGCTACATAATTAAGCCTACCAAAAAACATTTGTATAATTGGGTTGGTTCAACAGCACCCCAATTGCTTTTTTGCTTTTTGACAACAACTGTTCACTTTCTTACAAGTTACAACTAACCTAAAAAACTTATGTTTAGTTTTTTAATAGAGGGTGGCCCTTATACACAGGATAATTATAACCACCTAGTTACCAACCAAAGGGAAAATAATACATAGATTAAGTTAATAAACAGGAGAGAGAAGAGAACCACATAATTGAGGAATAGATTCCCTAAACCTCATTCCTAGACAAACTCTTCTCATTGTCTTTACATTTTAAAATGGTTTTAGATAGTTGCTTAATGATGGTGGGGGCAAAGTATGGCACATGATTTGGTGTAGTTGTTCCATGATTTTTGGTCCCTTGTCTGAGAGCTCATCAAGATTATCTTAACCTTGCTCTAAAAAGCAAACATAAAAAATGAGGCCTATTGTACAAGGCTCCCGTCGTGGTTCTTACTTCTATGAGGTTTGGGGAGGGTAGATGTACACGACCCGCATGCGGAGTGGTTATTTCTGCTCTAAGCAAGCATATAAAATTCAACTAGAAAAGGATTAACTACAGTTCTGCAACATAAGCCATGGCTGTAAATGAATTACACAATTTTTATTGAATTGAATCACTCAATAACCTAGCTACAATTCAAGATTAATGTAAACACTGTATGCAACATTGAAAACCATTCTATCATACCTTTGTTTCTGTCAGATTTTACACCCAAATCCTTGTCATTAAACCCTAAAGACCAATCCAAGAATCCAAAACTCCAAAAACAAACTTCAAAAACCACCTGTAATGTTGTTGCCTATTCCTCTGTGGACTCAAACCCAACTACAAACAAGACTAGATGAATATGAAACTGACTCAAAAGGCACTGTAGACACTAAAAAAAGGGACCAGTGCTTTAAAATCTTCCTAACACATGACTATGGAATTTTTCTCTGTACTTTGAGTTGAAGATCTGTCCTCTGTTTTAGCAGAGTATTTTGGAACCCACCAAACTCTTAGGCTCCTGTCAAGGCTCCCACTATACAGCATGAACCCACCACCAACACTGTTAGGTGATGCTTGCAAACACTTGACTGGCCCTTCATGTCCTCTTATAACCCCAACCCTCCAGAGCCCACCATTAATCTCTCTCTTCCAAATATTAATACTCTTATCAGCAGATCCGCTGCATAAAAATTCCCCCATCAAACAAATGCACAAAACAGCCATTTGATGTGCTTTCACCTCAAAAACTACCCTCCAACTTTCAAAATTCCCATTTTCCACCCATCCAATTACATACCCATCAGAACCCCCACCATAAACAATCCTCCCATCCTCTGAAACCACCACAGAATTCAATGAAACATCTTTATGACCCTCTAAAATTCCCTTCAAAGAATGTGAACTCTTACCCTCTTTCCCCCAAGCCTTAATCTTCCCATCTGCAGAAGCTGAATATACAATCCCCTTGCTAGCAGCCAACCCATTTATAGCATCATCATGAGCTTTTATCGATTCCGAACACTTCAAATCCGAAACTCTCCAAACTTTGAGGGTCTTATCCCATGACCCAGAATAGATCAACCCATTATGAACTGTTAAACAAGAAATACTGTCACTGTGTTCAATCCACAAACGCTTGTGGTGTCTTCTGGTCTGCACATAATTGCTCTGCTTCATGAACTTTCCCAAGTAATCTTTCGTAGTGGGAAGAGTATCAACAAGCCTGAATATATTTTCAGAGCTTCTTGAAACCTTCCAAACCCTTATTCTACTATCTTGATGCGCCGTGAAAACCTTGTTTCCGACGGTGATGAGAGCTTTAACAGAGCCATCGCCTTGTCCGAACTTTGTGAATTGCCTCAAATCAGGCTGTTGCCAGACTATTATGTCTTTGCCTTGTGAAGCGCTGAGGATGAACTCTCCACAGATGGCCAAGGAAGAGACTGATCCGATATGGGCCGAAAGAACTGCCAATGATTTGTATGAGCGGTAATCTGAAACGGGTGTGTTTGAGATGTGAAATTTGAAACTTTGGATATCGAAACGATGCGATGTTGCAGGGCTTTCGTCGGTGTCGCTGCTTGTGCTACTGCTGCTTGCTGTTGCTGATAACAATGGAGTTGATAGGTTGGTGTCTGAGACAGGAGAGTTCGTTGTGGTAACCATTTTTGGATTCTTGAAAAAAGGGTCTTCTTGTTTTTCTCTGTGTGTGTGTGTGCGTGTGAGAGAGAGACAGAGAGAAGAGGGACAGAGGATGATCCTGTGCAAGGAATACAAGAATATATAGAGATAGAGTGACGTTGGGAAGGATTGTTTCCAAAGAATAGAGCTGTAGAGAAACATAAATTATATTTTTGCAGTGAGAGAGAGAGAGAGAGAGAGAGAGAGAGATGGACCAAGAAATAGAAAGACATAAAGGGACGTTGGAGAAGATTATGAAAAATATAATTTTACCACCCCAAGGGACGTCGCAGAAGATTATGAAAAATATAATTTTACCATCCTAATTTTTTATAATTATTTAATTACCTAATTTTTTTATAATTTTTTATCTAACTTTTCAAATATTATAATGACAATAGAAAAAAAAAAAAGGAAGAATGACTAAGAGTAAAATGAATATTTAAAAATTTCGTATATGACATGAAGGCATCACTAATAAACTGTATATTATTGCCATTCTTATGTAGGAAATATTTTTTTGTAGAAGCAATACCCCTTACATGGTCTTTTTATAAATTTTTTTACTGAAATGTTGTCAAATTTATCTTTAAATAAAATTATAATTATAAAAATATGATTTAACATTCATGCATTTCCTTTCTCAATAAAAATTTCGTATATACTTGCAGAGAAAGAGAGAGAGAGAGTGGAGCGGGCCCCATTTCAGGCCCAGGAACACGGACTTCTTGGTGGAAAGATTTCATAATTGAAGTGTTGGAGGGGTTTGGGGAAGGTGTAACGGCTACTTTGACAAATAAACTCAGTCGTGAGTCATGAAAAGTGTTTGGGTTTACTTATTAGTGGGACCAACCTGACCTCTTCATTGTTAAACGGGATTTTGGGCTTGTTGGCCATTCATAGCCCGCCAGCTGTAATTTAGTTCAGGTCTTTTTTTTGTTACATATTTATTATTTTTTAAAAAAAAACATTTTTATTTAATTTCTTTAAATAGTAATTCACTATGTATATGTGGATGTGAACCATTTATAAAAATTATTTAATGTATATGTGCAACGCACATGAATTGTTTTAAATTATAATTTTTATTTTGAATTTTAAAATTAAATTTATGATAAAAAATAATATTCATTTCAATCTTTTAGTTAGTTACTAATTGTGTATGCCAAACTATCTTTTACTCTGTGTAAAATGTGAAAAAATAATATTTTGGTACACATGTAGGCTGCCCATGAATGATTTTGAGGACGCCATAAATTATTTGAGACCCCTCGTTACATTCGTGATGTCCACGACATGAAACTCGTCATTATTCTGTTGAACATCAAAAAACAACAACTAAAAAAATAAAAAATTAATGCATATAAGAAGGGAAAATTTCAACTATACCTCCTATAGTTTACCATATTTGAAAGGACGCTCTATTTTTTGAATCTTCGTTAATACCCTGTCAGATTAAAAAATGTTAACTATAATACAATTTTACTATATTGCCCTTGCTATATTTGAGGACAAACTTCATCCACACCCCCTCTGGATAAGCATTACCTCCTCTGTTTTCTAAATTTTTTACTTATTAAAATTCGATTCGAGTTAATTAATATTTATTTTTTCTGTATTAAAATTTGAGTCGATTAAAAATTATATTTTTTATGTATTAAAATTTGAACCGGTTAAAATTCTATTTGAGCCAATTAAAAGTTATTTTTAATCGATTCAAATCAAATTTTAAGTAACTCGCATGAGATTTTAATCGGCCCAAACTTTAATACATAAAAAAATATAAATTTTAATCGTCTCGAAGTGAATTTTAATCGGTGCTAATTTTAATATGTAGAAAAATAAATTTTAATCAATTCGAATTTTAATATGTAGAAAATTAAATTTTGATCAGCTCAAATTTTATGTAAAAATATTATTTGGGATTTATGTAGGAGCATTTTTAATATTTTAGATGAATTTTTTTTGGTTAGAAATGGTAGTTTAATAATAGGGGATGAAAAAAAATTAAAAAAAAAATAATAGGGGATGGGAGCGATGCTTTTTGATAATAGAAAGAGTGTCCTTGAAGATATAATAAACTAGAAAGAGAGTAACTGAATTTTTTTTATATAAGTTTACTAAATTAATGATTAATTGAGATAAATTCATACATGGAGCGCACTATACACGAAAAAGATGTTCTTATACTCTAACCCATTGCAAAATTATCAGTTTATCAATTACTAACAAACTTGAAGCCTGGAGAGAGAAAACCATTAATAATGAAAGGGTTTTAACAACTTATAGGTGACTTTTTGTTACTCCTTTAGCAAAGTAAATTGAGATTACAAAGAGAATTAATAAAGAAAAAATTAACTAAATGAGAGTCTAGATCAAACGGTCAATCATCAAGTATTTAAGAGTCCTTTTTATAGCCACCCAAACAAATTGCAGAATAAGTTAAATAAAACAATAAAAATATTTATTGTTAATTATAAAATACGATAAATAATAGATAAAGTTGTTGACAGAGCTCATTATCTTTTGTTCTATAACACATTTAAGTCTTAGATTGTCGTTTACGAACTCTAGCCTTGAACCACTTTTTGATATTTATATCTTATCTTATATTCACATTTTTTTTTCCAATTACTCTTTAAATAGTTTCTTCTGTTGATTTGCCCAAAATGCTTCACATTGACCAAAAATGAAAAAGAAAAAAGGGTAGTTAATACAGCGCCATAAACTGACTTCATTATATGTATTGAAAAACAAAATGACTTCAAAAAACACTTAATGAGTCTTTGTTTGCTTAATCTATGAAACACCTAGAAAATTTTCTTCACCACAAACAGCTTCCCTTAATTCAACAAATAGAGGCTTAACAATATGCAAACCACACATCAACTGCAATGACATAATTTTGTGTGTAAGTGAAGAGTTGAGATACCTTGTACCACCGACTCACTACACAGAGAGTGTAATACATACAACAAAAGAACAACAGTAAAAAAGAATGTGAGTGACACAACTATAGTGCTATTTGGAGGTGGTGCTAAAACATGTTCGGAAATGTTTTAAAAAATAATACTTAGTTTTACTCACCATTAATGGGATGGAAGCCATAAACCCGGTGCAAAGCTAATTTTTTACATAATTTGCACAAAATCAAACTCACAATTTCAAGGTTACTCGGTCGAATTGTAACCACTAAACTACTGATCAATATGGTAATGGTAGTAAAATGCAAAAGACCCCTGTCATTATGTGAACTGAGGAGAGTCAAACATACACTATTTTATGAGAGACTATTTATTCGTTACGTTGTTTAAGACTTATAGAAATTCTTACCCATAACAAAAACAAGCCCACAGCCCAAGCAATCTTTTAGGAGATTTTCCTGCATTCAATTAGGGGTGTTCAAATTTTCGACTACCTGTAAATTCCGATCCTACCATATCCGACCTTATTGATTGGCTACCCAAAAGAATGGGGTAGGCCAATGGAAGATCTTTTGGTATTCCGCAAAAAATTGGGTAGAAATGCAAAATACTTATAAAATTTTTGTATTCTTATCCTATCTTGCCTGCACACACACATATATATATGTTAATCCCTAAAAATTAAAATTCAAAATCTAGAGACCCTAATATTTTATTGATATTTATGACTTTCTTGTTGTGTTTTATTATAATTGTTTATGTATTATTGAATTTAATGTGTTTTCTTTAATATTATTAGTTTATTGCGCTAGTTAATTGGTGCAGGTTACTTAATTAAATTATTAAAAATGATCCAAAAATTAAAAATTAAAAAATATGTGTTCACCCGACTTCCTACTCAATTGTTTTGGACGAAATTTGGGTAGGAATAGTACACTTAATCGGATATGGTAGGCTAAAAAAAAATCTTTCACAAACTATCGGGTAGAAAGATAGAATACCATAATTCCAACCGGTAAGGTAGGGTGAATAACCCTACATCCAATAGAGTATATGAAATTGCATGAACATCAACACATTGTTCTTAGCCAACGTCTTTAGGTGATTGTTGCCCAACATGTGAAATATGTACAACAACCTAATAGTCTCCGTGAAGAGCAAATTGTAACTAGCACAATTACAATATTATGGCTATTAATCTTGGTTTTAGTTTAACTCATAAAAATCGCATAGAAACAAATCACGAACAAAATAATTACCATGTTCTAGCAAAGAGAGAGAAAAGAAAGAGAATCTGAAACCATGAAGGAACTATATATGGAACATGTATACAATCCAAATGGAGAGAGAATCAACACTTGTTCAAGTAGTACATTGGTTTTGTCGAACAAAGAGAAGAAGTGAGAGCCACTAGAACTAGATCAATAGGAAGAAAGACATGAAATTGTTAGACTTCTAATTTATGACAGCTACATTCATTACATATTTGAAATATGAGTTAACAAAGCAAAGATATGGAAGATGAAATGGTTAAATTGCAATTATTACTTGATATGCAATGCCCAAAATTTATACATGCTAAATGTAATTTGATATTTAGACCCTTGAGGTGTAGAGAATAAATTAGGCTCAGGATGGAAGAGAGAAATGTAGTCTGGGAGGTGATGAGTTGCAAAGGTGTTTGAGATAATAAATTTACTTATTAATTACTTTAATATTGCTGGAAGATTAAAGGTTAAAATGATAAATGAGAGAGTAATAACTTAATTGACTTTACAATAATAAATAAGAGTAGGATGAGAAATCAAAAATTTTGAATATTTTATAATAGTATAGATATATATAGATAGGTATAAATAGATTCTTACTCAAATTTTTAAGGCCTAAAGCTTAGGTAATTATAGTAATGATTGGATAACAGATAAAATTAACTACTGATTGGATAACAGATAAAATTAACTTTATAGAATATATCAAGGATATATTCAAAACACAAATAATAATAATTAAGTGAGGACGAAGTGGTTATACAAATGGGAGAGATAAATATTCATTAACCCGCCACATAAGTAAATGTACAAAACATGGAATAATAAAGAAATTATTATGAAAG